CCAGGAATTTACAGGTTTCCACGAGACGCAACAGAAGTGATCGATGGGAACCAGCAAAGAGCCCCCCTCCAAGCCCCACTGCTCCCATTTTTTTGTGCTTTTACTTCATTGCAACCGTCAGCGAAGTTAACATCCAACGGGTTACCTGACCCTGTACCGGAAAAACGGTGTTTCGCCAGCCCCGGACTGCTTTTGAAAAAAGTGGTTGTTCTGGGAAGAACGTCTTCAGCCTGTTAGGAAGTTAAAGCGTTCTGGTACCGTAACCCTGCCTATAATCGAGTAAACAGGTATCCTAAGCAGAAAATATTTTACAGTATTTTAGGGTATGCTCTTTGGACGATCGACTTATCCAATCAGTGATTTTATATAAAAATCACAATTCATCACATACAAATATCACCAATCCAACTATCTGCGATGTTTGCGACAAGAGTCCGGGGTATGTCTCACCCTCTGAGTTCAAGGCACATTCCGCGATAATGCTGTGGGCGGAGGCACTCGTAGCCGTTGTCTTTTCCGCGCTGTGCGCGCTCTCACTATTACGAGAAAGACTAGGGGCGCTTGTGAGAAGGTGTAGTGTTTGTGGGTTTCTGCCCATCTCGCTATCGCGAAATGTGCCTTCGAGTCCTAAATATCGTATAACCTGCCAAAGTCACATCTTTAGGCTAACACATCTTTTCTGCGATTCTGGTGAATTCTGTTCCGAGTACACTAAGGTGAAGATCGCTTGCACACAAGGATTCCCTGGCTTCAATATGGCAACGCTCAAAGGTTTGTTACTACCGTAATATTACACTACGACGTCACATTTCCTGATGGCTTTCCATTGCCACAGTTTGAATCGGTTCACCCACACTGTGGCTTCCCCTTGCCTTAAAGCGAAATCCCGCCGCTACACACCGAAGAACATGATAAAGGTGGGCTCTTCCGCGGAGGCGGAGCTGGCTTGTCGTCGCCGACCCGTGGCACTCTTAATAGACACTTTAGAGTCGTGAAAGTGGGACGGTCTGCGATTGTGAGCCACCTTGTGCAACGAAAAGGGTCTGCACGTCGGGCAATAGCAGACGCTGTTCTCAAAGCGGGGAGGCAGTGATTCCCCCCCCCCATCCCTCCTCCTCCGCCCGACCGCGCGACAATATATAGTTTTTCGCTGTGAGTGGGGAAAGTGAAGAAATTCTTGGAACAGTTCAGGAAAAGTGGCAGGAAGATGGGAACATTCAAGGAGATGACGGTAGATAGGATGTAGAAAACGGGGGAAGGGGTCGACCAAAGAAGGAGATTTTGGACATATAATGCAAACTATTTCTCCGGCGTGCCCTGGACAAAATAAAAAAACCAGCCAGTCCGTGCAGCCACGCATTAGAAGTGCGGGCCCCTTTCCCTACTGAATGATTATTACGCGATCATTTTCATGACCAAAACTGGGCCATCATTTTGGAATGTTTCCAGCTTTGTGCTGGGACTAAAGATTTTCTGCCTACAATAAGTAGAGAAGCCAAAGATGTCGAGTAGAAAATTCTGTTCACAATGCCACTAACTATACTGTATAGATAACCTGGAGCCTGCATACATGCAACGAGATGAAGTCCTGCCAGGAGTTCGTGGAAAGCCAGATGCCGAAGTGATCCAAGACGTGACGTCAACGTTCTTTCTCCTGTTGGCTATTTACTTCCCAGCTGTCACTGGTATCATGACCGGTACCAATATGAGTGGTAAGTGAGAACAATTTCTCATGTGGGAATTTATTTATCGATCACTGATTCACCTATTCCACCTGTTTTTTCAACGGTTATATTGAAGGCAGTGCGAGGTACTTCCATTACAAAAGCATCCACCAACAGCCATTAAGTTTTGGTGATAGCTCCTCTCTAATAGTGGAAAAGCAACCAGAATGGAAAAACTAATTATGAAGATTTCTCCCTCCCTTGAAGGAACCATTATGTGCAAAACTGAGGCGGCAAAACTTTTAAGGGCATCGTATCAGCTGATTGATACTGAGCTTATTTTTCAGGTGATCTGCGAGACCCTCAACGTTCAATTCCAAGCGGTACTATAGCCGCCACGGTCACGACGTCAATCATCTACTATGCCTTAGCTGTGCTCTTCGCTGCTAGTGTCGATAGATCCGTGCTCAGAGACAAGTATGTTTCAAAAGCTTGTGTCTGGCGCTTAGCGTGGGAGTCATTGCGCGAAATTGGCCTTTAAGCGTAACAAGCCCGAGGTGGGAGCTTACCGAGGTGGATGGGCCCAAGATGAAAACGTTAAAAATCGGTTCCAGCAGTGCCTCCCAAAATTTCAAAGGTCGTTTCTGGATAGCTTGAAGACCAGGAAACAGTTGTTGTTCAAGGATAGTCTGAGATTGAGCTGAGTTGCCTGAAATACAGCAGAGACCTCTCCGCAATGGACGGAGCGGAAACTGCTTCTTTCCAAATTTGGGGACTAGATTTGAGAGAAACAGCAAAAAGAGGTAAACAGGGAGATTTCATATATTTCCTCATAGACCACCGTGCGCGGCTGCGACGTGATGGCTTATCTTCTGCCTAAATGCATCGGCGGCTCAGGGATGCGCGACGGGATGTGTGACAAGACAATTCGGCCCGCGAGTGGGCGTGGTGTGCGACGTCGCGCAGGCGAATAACGGTGCTTTTAGGTCGTTGATGGTGACAGTGGATCATGTGCAACCAACAATGGGCACAGCTGTCTACAACGTCGTAGTCAGCGTGGAATCCGGTGTTTCAGTTGACAAGCAAAGGCAAATTTCAAAAAAACGCCACGCTAGCTACGATTAGCGAGAATTCGTTAGCGAATTACGATTGTCTTGACCGTCTCCTCCTGCGAGGCCGCCTTTGCCGCGCTGCCGCATTCTTCATTTCTTGAGCGACACAATCATGGAAATACCTGCTGAAAATCTCAAGCAGAACTCCCTCCCAACTCTTTCTTCATTACTTTTATATTTCCATTAATTAATAAAGGCCATCAGAACGTTCAGCAATGAAAAAATAACCCAGACCGTTAAGATTTGGCCGATCAATTGATAACAACATGGTGGTCTCGACTTTGGCTTGGCCGTCCCCGTGGGTCGTCACCGTTGGATCATTCCTCAGCACATTCGGTGCCGCTCT